GGCTTTTGTGGAGACTGTCCTGGCAGCAGAGCTAGGCTATTGCAGTGTCGTCCAAGTTTTTTTTCGATATAAATGGCTATGTGAGCAACTTGTTGTCATCCGACGCCGTAAGCGTGATATCCGTTGTACAGGGCTTCTCACTCTTCTTGCTAAAAGGGTTACAGGTTTTTTTCCGACAAGAGCAGATACCAGCGCGAGCTTTTGCCTTTTACGAGCGATCTCGCCCAACCTGAGATGTGGAGTGAAACTGCCGTGATTCTCACTTAAGATACACAATCTTACTATTGCTGTGCAAAGCGCAAGATGTTTTTGTGCAAGCAGGGTAAGCTTCGTACACGTGAAACTGAGTAGGCGTAAAATGTGGGTGTGCGTTTTGTCTTTGAAACACCTTTTATTATAACCCAAGAATTTATTAGGAATGTCGTTTTTAGATTTACTCTGAGGAGTTCTATATCAAACTATGGTACTTAGACTAATCTATTCTAAACTACGGTAGAAGTCTATTGCTAAAGTATAAAAAAACTAGCGTTTAACAAAAGCAGATAGCCGTTGTTAACCAGCTGCGTGCTTGTGAATGCAAGGGTCCTTATGGATAAGCTTGGTTTTCGCATCAGGATGTTTTTTATGAGCCAAGTGCGATAAGGTTTGATGAAGTAAAGGGATGCTAAAGGTGTCAATACTGGGATGAAGCTGACGAATATAAGCGAAGTTATTTCTATATAAGGGTGATGTATAATGTTTAGTTGCCCTATCACGTACGTTGCGGCGGTGAGTGAGTAAAAGCAGGGTATGCATGCCTGATATACGATAGCCTGCAAGGACTAAATTATTAATAAAAATAAACTGACGTCAAAAGATACCTTCAGCAACATTGAATGAATTTCACGAGTTTTTTCCGATATAGTCTTCATTGTCCGTAGTTTTGTCACGATGCGCTCCCTAAGCATTAAAATAACTGCGTAGACGGGTATAACAGGATTATCCTGGTGAGCAGCCATGTAAAGTACACCAAATTTTAAGACACTAAGGTGCCCACTGACGCAACTTTCGTTAATATCATAACGAAAATATCTATTCAATTCCTCCCTAACGATTGGCTCAGGGTCACTGGATAAAGCAAATAAGACCTAGAGTGAATAGGACATAGGAGAGCTTAAGAAGTTATTTCTCGGTGAGACCAAGACTTTATTTACTTACGAGCTGCACAAAACATGGTATGTAGAAAAGCAAAATTGCGAGCAATATTGTAGAAATTCTTGGTGCAGAATGGTGAAGAACAAAATATCGAAAGACAAATGACAGAAGTGTCAGATATAAACCAAATATATAGGAGTGTAATAAAAAGCTAAACCTAAAATATTTCGACAATCAAGTATTTCTTGATAGAATTAAAGTACAAGCGACATCAACAAACAAGGGTTTTGGCAATGATGAGTAATGCGTAGACTCACCCTATGAAACAAGTCGTAGATCCAAATAGACGACATGGACCATAAGACATGTAAAAAAGGCTTGGAGCTCGAGGGATCATCCTGAAATCAGAGTAGCCCCACTTCCAAGTTACGCAGTTTACATTCTACTATTTTATCTATTCCACAATGTCCACCGATTCTCCGGGTGCAAGTTGAACAGAAGTTTTCTACGTGTATGCGTACATTCGTATGCCCCAGCTTTCTATGAACTAAGCATAAAAAATTTAGATTTTTAGGTTAAATCTCCAAAAGAAGAAGAAGCAAAAAGAAGAATATCCCCCTTATATGAAGTTCTTCGCATTTTCTTGTGGCATGCAGAGCATGTTAGTAACAAGAATGACACATTCAAAACATTTGCTACCATAAATCTGCCGTTTGATCTTGCTTTCAAGGGCAGTGGATCGGCAGAACGGGCCCTTCTCGGATTTTGGTAAATTTAGGTAGTAGATCCCCAAGTACACTGTAGCCCAAACCCCATCCGCCAATTCGTGCGCTAACTGCTGAAAAATGCGCTTCAAAACTCCACCAGCCCCGCCCATTTCCATTGAGTGGACGTCATTGGTGGAAGTTTGAAGCGCGTTTTCAGGACTCAGCGCATGAGTTGGAAGATGGATTCGGGCTACAGTATACTTGGGGGTCTACTACCTAATTCCACCAAAATCCAAGAAAGGTCCATTCTGCTGATCCACTGCCTTCAAAGTCAGTGAGAAAGTGTGTTTTTCCGAGCAACGATCCCTGACAAGCGGACACCTGAGGTATTTCACGCAATTTTGGCATTATTCCTGTACTTACAAGGGAAGCGTTTTTAGAAGTGGCGTTTTTGAATGAGAATTATATACCTTGAAGAGCATTGCACGGTGGTTTTAAATCTGCCTTCATTATCTGCCAAGCCTCTGGACGCCGAGCTATGGTCGTTTCTTGAAACGAAAAATGGATGCAGAATCGAGGTAAAATCAATTGTTACAATCTTCCCAGCGCTCAGATAAGGCAACATTAAGCATTAGCGTATTAGACTAAATTTACCCATTGCATAAACTGCTGCGATACTCGGCACCCCATTTGAGCAAATTTGGGCGGTTTTGTTCCATTGCGTTCAATTTTTGACCAGAAAAACGCCCATAACTCGGCGTCCAGAGGCGATTGGCATATAATGAAGGCAGATTTGGAATCACTGTGTAGTACTCTCCAAATGTGGGTCTCATCTGAAAAGGCCACTTCGACTAAACACGCTTCCCTTGTTAGCTATGGATACTTTCTTCATTTGTTCTGCTGTAAATTTTTTGAGGATTTTTCTAACAATGCCGTGCTGCCAACAACATTTGCGCATGGACAATGGCAATGTGCATTTTAGGCTTTTTGCAAGCCGTAAGCCAATTGTGAGCATTTTGAAGCTGACTGTGACATTTGTTTCAGCGCGGATGCTATTGTCGCCTAGAAGCATTCGATTGTTAAAGTCATTGGACTGTTGGTCGCGAAATCTATGACTTCCACTAACTTACAAGACTGTGTGCCATGGACAAAAGATTATTTCAACTAGGGAAAGAATAAACGTTCTTGTGGTTTGAGGAGAGTAACGTCGCCAATCTAGCATAAACAAATCTTTGCTGCGTAAATATGTCGGCAGACGAGGTGCACAGATTGCAGATAGCGGAACTAAGTATCAGTATGGAGTAGGCTCTAAAGGCCTTTGGAGATATCTTGGCAGCCAAATAGATAAGTAGAGCGTTGAAAAAAATACCCAACAAGCCATTGATAATGTGCACTGCGACTGCCATGCAGGTCACGATGGTGATGTGTGAAGCCGAGACTGTCTCATCCATGATTCGGGTTCAATAGAGCTCTAAATTGAAATGCACATAATAAATTTACTGAACAAGCTAATGTAATTACAACTATTATTATGAGTTGCGTTTTTGTCGTAGTTCACCTGCAATCTCACGGAAATGTCGCTGTAAAAAATTTATTGAAAGATTTTGCATATAAATTTTCCGTAATTGTAGTGATGAAAACATCTGAGTGTGAGAATAGGAAAATTTTTATGTGATTTCAGATCTGAACGATTTTTTATTGATGTGATAACCACGCGTTCGTTCTCTAGTCCTACAAACAACGAAAGGATACTTGGTTGAAGTGGAATTGAAATATGAAATGTAAACTGTCTTAAAGAGCATTGAACGTTGGTTTCAAATCTGCCTTCGATATCCGCAAAGCCTTGTGGGAGTGGAGTTATGGGATTTTTTGTGGCAAAAAATTAAGGGTTTGACTAAGATAAAAACAGTTGTTGAGTTCTTTCAGGCGCTTGAGAGTTGTAATGACTCGCATAAATTTATTAGACTGAATCAAGTGAAAAGCGCCCTTGCAATAACCATAACCCTATTTGAACTTCCAGGCTACAGTTTCATAGTCGCGTTTTCGTAGTCGTTTGCAGGCAGTCCGTAATGGATGCAAACATCTAGTTTTTTTCTGACTTCTCTACTTCACTGTGATTTAGTAGCTTTTTCATATAGTTCACGCCAATCCGAGTCAAAGATCATTAGGCGAAGCGCTTGTTCCCGTCGATGCCATCCAAAGAATAATCGATAGAAACGTTGACTCAAAACATGACTAAATAGGACTAACGCTTTGAATTTGCTATTAGTATGAAGTGTTTAGCCTACGTGAAGTCATCTGCTAGTTGGGAGGGGGGCGAGGGGGAGAGAGTGCTACCTACACATTACTTGTCGCCATCCAGGCATCCAAACTGCCACTATTGTCAGATGTTGTTACTGTTGTACTTTCCGCATTTTACGTCTAGGAAACGGATGAAGGGGTAATTTTAACGACTGGCAATGAGCATACCCCGAGGGGCTGTTGCTAATTTCAGTTGTTGCTTGTAAAGCAAATTTTCATGGCAGCTTGAATAACGAGAAAATCTCCGATGAATGAATAATAGCTGTTGTTAGACTCATTAGACTTGACGGTTTCACAACTTTTGGCCGAAAATGCTCGATTTTGATTTGTGAGTAGATTAATATGGCTGTCAGTGATAATAAAACTCACTAATCTCACATTACCAGATCTGTTTCTTCTCAGGCCGCCTTCACCATCGAAAGAGTCGTAGCAACATGTCGACTTGGACGGTACGAACGAGGAGGAAGATTTTTAGGGCCTACTTTGGCTATCATTGTGGTAGGTGTACATAGGTTTTCGATTGAGATCGTTAAATGTTACCATTTGCTAAGCGGTTTTGAGCTGCTGAATTCAACGCTCCACAATGTTGATTTAGGCCTACAAGGCGGAGGCCAATTGTTACAATTTCATATTCTCCAACACTTGGCCTCTGTTTTACAGACTATCGCACTTCTTTTACGGCGTGTGCTAATAGAAGAAGTCTTATTGCAGTTTGTGTCATGTTTGATTTGTGTGAGATGGGGTTTTGCAACTACGGATCCAGACGAACTACTATTTCATTGCGCGGCAATTCCAGTCTCTGCTACTGCTCGAATGAACTTGATTTGTTCACTTTTACTCATTGTGGATTTGTCTTCGATGCTAACGTTTTACTGTTGCCTCACTTATAACAAGAGGAAGGCGAATAGCAGGTAAGCACGAACATCAACAACCTTTTAGAATTTTGATTTTTCAAGAAAAGATGCTACAAGTAGGTTTCAGAATATTTCATCTTGAAATAAGTTATGAGATACAAGAGAATCTTAAAGTGCTGCGTATCCTATTTCCTATTGTAACTTCCCATTTCGTAGTATCTGGCACTTTTATTGGAGGTACAATTTCTTGTGACTGTAATCCACACAACAATCTCTGCTCTAGGAACTCTACTTATAAGGTCCCTGCGAGGAGTTCTTCCGTACAGAGCTCTAGTCTTATCACTTGCTGTGGTATATGTAAGTACGCATCAGATAAGCTATGATATTGTTTGCTCATTTCAGATTATGCCATACTACTTTCTGATGGTGTCTATCTGGATCTATATGATATTACTTCGCAACGAACGCGAGTCTCTGCTTTTCCGAAAAACCATTGCACAACGTCCCGAAGCGAACAAGGATAGCGACGCTTACTTTGACTCGTTGAAGAATCAGTGGTCATGAAATAAAGGCACACGCCAAATTCGGTGTTTCCGTGTTCTATCATCTGATGCTGCTTGATTTATGTACAAGCCGGCTAATGCTTACATTTCGCACAAAATCGCGTGTTGACCCCGCTCGCTTGACCCGAAGATTAACTTGCACTTGTGACCATAATCTCCGTAGTCCAGACCACTGATTATCACTGTTTTTTGCAGAAAGTGATTATTCGAAGAAATGTGAAGCTAAAGAAATGTAAAATAAAATAGGAGCGTCGAAAAACGTTGAAAACTGACCGGAATGCAATAAACTTGCAGTCTTTCTTTTGACAATGTTAGTCGCAGATCTTCGATCAAAGTGGCTGATAAACACCTAGAACGGAGAGCTATTCTCTTCCGCTATAGTCTCAAACTCAATCTCGGTTCAGACGTCTTGGTTTCCAAAGACAGGAAAAGCAGGAGACTAATTATCTAAATGACTTGTTTCTAACAATAAGTCAGATTGCACGTCAAATACGATTAATTTCCAGATCTCCTATAAAGTCTCGTCTCGTCTTTTTGTTTTTGTTTCTGGCAACTTATCTGAGTTGCTTTGCTCACCTGAGTGAGAATCATTCCAAGCAAGGTAGCTACTGAGTATTTCGGCATTTAAATTGATCGAAAGTTGAGTTGACGTTGTCTGTATTATAAGAAAACAAGATGCATCGAATGCACAAGAATTTCGTCACCAGAATTTTTTTAGACTCCAGATCAAAAAACTTAGCTCAGCGAAGTTGTCAGCATGTCAGTAGGCTTCAAGAGCTCAAAAATGATATAATATTTGCAAGATTTGATCATAAACAGCGGAAAAAAGATTAGAGCGAAACGACGCGTGAAAGCGTACGCTGTAGCGAAGCAGTGCATCAAAAATGCGCGGACTACGGGAGAAACAGCAGACCGACAGGGCACTGGCTCGGCCATATACCTCTGCAAATTCTTGACGGAACTTTGCCATTACATACCATTCTGCTTCTCATGAGATATTAGGGGCACGACAACGTTGTTGAGGCTTTTTTCCTCTTCACTAGGAAGCAGCATTTTCGTGCGGCTCTTTGCGCAAGTTTTGCGCACACTCTCTGGTTTTCAGGGAGCTTCATCACTTTTTCTAGGCACCCGAATGTACAATCCACAAACCAATCCTGTGAGGAACATTGTTGCCATTGTGGGAAAATTCTCATAAAAACCTACTTTTTGCATGAAATGCTATAATGCATTTTTCCTGTTGCTGCAGGAATCTACCATATTATTACTCACCTCTGCACTCCATTCACTCTTTCTGATGTGGTTGTGAGTTTAGCAGTCGGGGCTTCTGTCCGAAGGTTTTCAGCCAACTTTTAAGTAGAATTGTGCCTATTCATCTCAAGTTGAAAGTCGCCAAAGCGATGTTTCTGTGTATTGTAGTTGGGCGTGTGACCATTGCTGCTCCCGCCATATCCGTCCAGACTTTGATGGGGTCTACCCAAATCCGCTAATTTCCCATGTAAAACTTGCCAGAAGCGCCATATTGTCGATTCTCACCCTACGTTTCTACAGCAGATCAACGGCTTATTTTGTTCCCATCACCTTGTACTTAGCCTTGTACTTAGCACTGCTGACATTTTCAAAATCAGGGGTATTTCTCATGGCGATATCAAGGCAAATTTGTCATCCTACAGAACATTTATAATTCATTTATGTGGAACAATTTCTGACATGGAATTTGGAAATTTTTTTTACCTGAATCCAAGCAAATTTGCGGAAATGCATATACCTTTCAATCGTCAACGCCATTGTTATCGGGAATTCCGCAGCGTTTGCGGTTTTCGCTTTTGAATCGCGATCCGATTCTTCCATATCATGTTCATGTTGAAATGCTAGTTTTCTGCTTTGAGAATTCCTTCAAACATTCGAGATGCTGAGATGAGACCTAGACAGCTAGGTTTTATTGAAAAAAAAATGGCACACTGTATGCAGGCACCACATAGAATCGTAAAAGACACCAAGAGGGAGGTTGACAATTGGCCTGAGATTGAACACAAATCAGTGGGGCAGAGAATTAATAAAAAAATTAATAAAGTAGTGTTGAAATATACAGGGTGTCTCAAAGATGGCACACTGTTTGATCGTTAATAACTCCCTTGCTTTCATGTCTTTCGACGAGTTTAAGGTAACATTCTGTAGAGCGAGGACTAACTTAGATTTGCAGCTTGGTGCAGAAAATCAATCTCTATTGGTTTTTGTAGGGCGGCATGAAGTTTCAGAATGCAGCGTCACTGTGGAATAGGCCTTTTGAGGAAAACAATTCCAAAAAATCTGAAATTTTGTGTATCAAGGTTTTCAGGCGTGCTGTTTACACCGCACAACTTTTCACGAGTTTTCCAAATTTTTCTGTGTGTAATCACATTTCTGACTAACACTGAAAAACAGTTGCTACCATAAACCTGAAATAACTTATGAAAGAAGCATTACAGTGAAGTATAACTTTCAAATTCAGAATTGACCGACTTCGACTACTCCATCACAAGAGTTTCTGGCTTGTTTGATTTTTTCTTCTGAGGCAAAAATCGCTTTCGATTTCCTCAAATCGTTCTCGATTTTTTACCGTAATCCTGCAGTAATGAAAAGTAATTGACGATTCGCTCCATACTGTACATCTGAGTTGAACCTCGCTCTACAGAATGGTGCATCAAGCTCGGCGAAACACAAGAAGCAAACACTAAGTCATAGGGCATTGATATAATGGTGCAAGAATAAAGTAAAAGTAAGAATAACGACTTCAATCACAAGGGGTAAGGTGCGCTTCAAGGGGAATGCTTCCTATAAGAAATCAGCCCGTTTCCATTCATCGGGTGTCATTCTGGCCCTGTCTGCGCGACTGAAGCCGACTTCGGCCTCTTTCCCTCTCTTCAATGAGAATGATAATCGAAATTTTTTTGATGTAAATGTAACTTTGTAGCACCAGATGCCCTTCAGCATTCTTGTAGTCTGCAGTATCGAATGTCCTTACTAAAAGAATACATTTACTAGAGGCTACTAGATATAGTTAGCTGAATAGTCACATACTTAGAAAAACTCAGCCTCTGCTATGCACGTCCTGGTCTTACTGCTCCGGTACGCCACGTCCTCTTCTTCAAAAATTAAATAGTTTCCCTCTCTTGCTCCGTTTTGTTAAGAGACAACCAGAAGCTAATTGCTGATTACACAAAAGGATTGAGACATGACTCATATGTTCCTGGAATTCAACAACTCTAGTCTAGATCCAAGCAGCTCGCTTTGATCCAAATCAAGTGCATCCAGAACAAAATCTAAAAAAATCTTTCTAAAATAACCCACATTGCAGAAATATCAGTGATTGCTTCAATGAGCAATTCAGGCATATCCACTAACTGCTTCGTTAACTGCTTCAGGTTCTGAGGCGCTGAAAAGCATTCGAAATAAACGATATTAATTTGATATTTCGCATAACGCTTGTTCGCTTTGTGAAAGCAGTATCTAATCATAATCATTTTGAAAGTTTTAAATACCGACGATTTACCTGTGTTTTAATGTGTTTGAAATAAGTGTGCTAGAATTCGGCGGCTTTTGAAAAAATCTGGCAAATATGACGAGCTATGGGGGTTGGCTCTTTGAACCCTACTTGCACTTCTTTGCGGAATCTATAAAATGTAAAAAATTAGCGGAACTTGACCATGGCAAAAAATCATGGGCCATAGTTTTTGGTCTTTTTTTGAGAGCTTGCTGGAAAGATCAAACAATCACTTGAAAGACGATGAAAAGCTGCATCGAATACATCTAAAAGCCTCTGACATTCTTTGTTTTACCGGTTGTTACTCTTGTGAAAAAAGCAAAATTACTTTCGGAATTACGACTCAAAATCTTGTGAGAGTGCTGTTGTGAGGAGACAGCTATGTGTCAGTGAGGTCATGGAAATATAATAGGAGCAAAGAACGAAAAGAAAGTGCATGCATATGAAAAGCAGTGACGGTCTGGAGAATTTTTTGTGGGAGAGAGGGAACATTTCTTGGGTTAATGGGAGGAGCCTAGTCACGTCCTAAACAATTTTTGGATGCTCAGAATTTGTTCGGGGCATTTTTTTCCAGATCCTCATGAAAAGGAGCCCTTGAAGCCACTCCTTCCCCCTTTTCTTAGAATTAGGAAAATACAATAACTTTTGCGAAAGCAACCCAAAAAGTTACCTTCAAAGCTCAGTCGGTGAAAATTTTGCAAACTATCAGGTTGGTGCAAAAGTAATGCGCGTTTTTCTAGCCCTTGGTTTAGGACAACTTTTCTCCGCCAAAATTAGCATACTCTCAGGAAGCTCCTTTCACGCTCTATCCAATGGTGGTTAAAACGAGCTTCTAGCTTCATTGGTTAAAAAATAAGAGAGCATCACACAGCCGCACTCAAAACCAGAACTTTACTGCATTTACTTCTCTGGCCAGAAATCAAGCCCGAATAAAAGCTAACTTTCGAAACTTTAGCTAATATATTTAATGGAAATTGTCTACATTATGCACATTTTACTATTTTCTCAGAAATTGCCTAGGCTAAGATTTCGGCTCCTCAACGTGGGCAGTCGTTTTGATCATTCTGTGATCCATAAATTCCCTTTGAAGAGGGCAATTACCAAACCTTTGCTCATTTCTGTAAGCGTAAGGGTAGGCCTTCTATTGGCAGTTTTTACAGAATTGTGTATGTGTTCGTTACGCAGAAATTTAAAAAAATTCCATATTTTGGGGTTTTTACGCTTGCGAAAAAATGTCCAAAAAAGTGGGCAATTTTGGTTTTGAATTTTTTTCCTCTTCACACATCCTCTCTGTTTGGCCCTTTTCCACTTTTTTGTACTACAGGCTTTCGGCTACAACATAGGCTACTTATTATCTATATTGACATTTCTGAAGAAAGCTATGATCAGTTAAACTTCAAGTTTCAGAAAAGATTCAGAAAAGAACTTTTTCTGCTTGTCAGTCCGTATTATTCTGCCCGTCGGAGAGATGAGTACAGGGA